CCTTATTTTTTTTCTTTTTTTATCTATTCATTTAAATATTTGATATTTAATTTATTCATTCTTTCCTTTGAGAGAGAGAGAGAGAGAGAGAGAGAGAAAATTACCAATAATCCAATAAACTAGTATGAAGTGGGATTGAGGTGGAAAACCATTTTGCCAACAAATTGCAGTTATGTGCATCATGCAGGGATGATAAAATTGCCTTAGAATTACTTAATATAAAGCATTGTTTTTATTATTATTTTAGAGAGTGTCAGGTTGGCCACTGGAAGAAACACAAGGCAGCATGTGACCTTTTGTATGATTCTCTCCAAAAACTCAAGGAAACAGAAGGTTCAGGAAAGGAACAAACAAGCTAGCATATTTGAGAAAAGGGGGGGGGGGGCAAGTCTATTACTGGTAACACGAAAACAGGTCATGTGACTAAGGGCATGTGACCAAAATCATGTGATCTGTATCATGTGAAAAATGTTCAGTGGGTGTTGGATAATGTCATTTAACTATATTGACTAAAACGTATCCAAGATTGAGAATGAAATGTGGGATTGGAAAGCAAACCTTGAAGACGTGTTTAATAATGCATTCTTGTAGATTTACTTGAACCTTCCCAGCATCATTCTGTTAGTAAACTAAGATTGTATGAAATAGTGGTTCATACAGATATTATGGTGTAGTTCTGAAATTTGTACTTAAATTGTAAGTTCATGTTTGATCATTATCATGGTTCAGTTATTTTAACAAGTCATCACACATTTCTCAATAATTGTGATTTTCATGTTTTAGCACAATGATAGATATATTTTTCTGTTGACTGTCTGTATATTTGTCAACTTTGCTGGCTATGTAGGATACCTCAATCTCCAATTGGTATCTTGCTTAGAGTGAAACCTAGTAGGTACCTTAATGTGAAATCCAGATTTTAAGCACTAGTTGAATTTTATTTTTGTGTTATTTTCACCAGTGTGACATTCTAGATGTAGCTAAGTATGCCTTATAATAAACTTAACTTAACCAATCTCCAGTCTCCTTTTTTTTTAAACTTAAATAAAGTATTTTCTCTAGGAATTTTGCCTTTTTTAAATAAAAAATCTAACTCACCAATTGGAAAGCGCAATGTGATTTTTTTTTTCTGTCTCAAAAGAAAATCCAAAGCATCTTTGTGTGCTGGAACACGGTGAACGTGCTTATAGTTAATTAATAGCCTGGTGCTTTTCTGATCATCGATAAAGTGAGACCATGACAGACTGAAAGGTGGACAGGTGGATGGGTGAATGGACAAAGATAAGGGTCAGGGCCCAGTTTCATAAAGGACGTTTAGCACTAACCAGTGTTTAAGTCTAACCAGTGGATAAATTCTCCTAACACCCATTAACTAAACGAAGGTTGAAATTGTGTTTCATAAACAGTGTTTAAACAGCCAGTTAATATTAAGTTACCTTTATATATTTCATCCAATTAAACACTGGCCAGTTGACCAACTGGCTGTTTAAACATTGTTTATGAAACACAATTTTAACCATCTTTTAGTTAATGGGCGTTAGGAGAATTTATCCACTGGTTAGGCTAATACACAAATCAAAGCAATTTCTGAATGTATAACCCCCTTTTTATTGAGGGGGTATATTTTTTTATTCACAGTATTTCATGAATGGTTTACCAATTGTTTATCAGCTAGCACTGTGTCTGCAACGGTTAAAATCCCAGACAACCCAATTGTACAGGAGAAGGTGGTAGTGATTTTTAAACAATTGGACTGATTGTGTTAGAGAAGTCACTGAGCAATGTGCTAGTGCTGTAGGATTGAGAGTTGAAAGGAAAGTGACAAGTTTTGCCAATATTTGTACACGACTTGCATTTTTACAATATAAGATCTTCCTGTAAATTTCAAATTGAACAATAATGGCTGTGGGGAAAAAAACAGAAATATGTGAAAATATTTTAAAGAATTACATCACCTGTGTTATGTTATAAAAATAAAGCAATTTTCCCCGATGGAGATTCTCTGATACTCAGTAGACATCGAAAAATTGGAGGCAAACAATTTCAATATTGAGCTGTTGATTGAAGCAAAATATCTTATTCTTAATAATCTGATTCTGCAGTTTACTGAACTTGATCTGGGTTTCACTAAATTAAAACAAATCCTGACAGCAAATCTTCAGTCAAACTACTAAACAATGTGTGGTCATGGGATTAGGGATGCTTAAACATGAGAAAAAGGGGAGGAAGAAACTACTTCAAATTTTGAGTAATAATAACATTTTAACTGATTAAAACCGAGAGGTGTTGGCATTTTTGAAAAATCCACATCTCCCCTGGATATTATCACCTTTTTAACTTCAAGGCTTTTCTAATTCACACTTTTGCCTTAAAGAAATACATTAGTTTGGAAATACAGCCTATGTTTTTTCATCCTGTTATATCACATGCAGTTACTGGCATTTTTTTTTTGGGGGGGGGGGGGAGGCAGAAAAGAATGACATAATTTGTTTATGATATGGTAAGATGAAATACTATAATCCTTGTCCTGTTCGAAAGACTTAAGCTTGGCGGGATGATGTGTAGATTAGTTATAAAGCTCATTATATTTTTATCTAAAGAGGCTAACCTAGCTTTTAAGCAAGCGAAGGGTTACACACTGAGCCTTTTCCTTCAGTACCCGTACATTATTGTATCTTTTCGTCACATTATTAGACCTGGTCAGCTTCGGCTGATAATACAAATAATATCAGGCACATTTGGCTCAAAACCCTCCCTATGTTGAATTTTTTAATTGTGAAATGAATTTCAGCAGGTTTGCACTCTTGCGCATACAAATAAAGAAAAACGCACACATGAAATACATGTACGTACACGTTAGTGTACATGTTTATCCACAGTTCAACCACAGTTTATCCGCAGTTCAACCAAGAACAACACGAAAACAACTACTAAAATGATGACTTGCAAAGAAAATTATTTAGCTCGTTATCACATGATTACAGTAATTATTCGGTGCCATTCTTGGACAACAGTTGCGGATAAACGCGATGCGTTCACAAAGACTTATATTGGGCGTCTACGGTACGAGTACGGTCCAAATAGCGTTTAAGAGGATTTACAAAAAATCGCAAAGGCGGTTTACTTTTTTGTTCTTTTTGCTAGATTCCTGAAACAAATTGTGAAAAATACTGACTGGCTCACTTATTCAGAATGATGGCAAGGGTTCAGTGAGGTTGCAAATGCACACCTGCTTATATTGATGTCAATTGCTCGTAAAACACCCTTAAGAAACATTCAGAATAGATGATCCGAGTACTAACTGATCCGCCGACTATATATGCCGACCACACGTCAAAAGCGATGCTGCTGATTCCCGATGGTGTCTCCGTCTCCACACGCGCCGTCGCTGCAGGGGCCTAGCAATTAAGAACCGAGATTTAATCCGTTTAATGATGCGCGTGTGGAGGCGAGGAGACCATCGAGAATCAGCGGCATCGCTTTTGGAGTGTGGTCGGCCAAATTTAATAGGCGGATCAATTAGTACTCAGATCAACTATTCTGAATGGCCCCTTGAACTTATATCGCTGTAAGGCGGCTATCCGACTATCCTTCCAATTGAAACTATCGGTCTACGTAGATCGATCCCAACTTCGAGGGGACACTCGCTAAATGCAATCAAATTAACAGACTGAGATGCCTCCTCTTGTTTCCAACGTTCCCATATTCGTTGTATACTGACAAGCATTTTTGTATTCTATTCAACACCGAGAGTCCCGGTGGAGTTGGATCGATCTACGAAGACCGATAGTTCATTGGGAATGAGCCCTATGAAAGGTTCAAGGCTTAATCCCAAGTATTGGGAGCATTTCTTTATCAAAATACCCCGGCATTTCTTATTTATTTATTTATTCATTTATTATGGGGAACCATAGACAAGAAATATACTTTGTACAGGGACAGTCGTGATTTCTCAAAACCTCAAGGCAGTCAACTATAGGTGTGTATTTTTAAATTGTAAAATAAATTTCTTTTTTATGCCTCACTTTTATTTATCATCCGAGCCTCAGGAAAAAATTAGTTTACTATCAAATATCTTTAATTATTTAAGTCACTTATTTGTTAAATCATTCAAGCATTAGGACAAACAAGTATAATTATGTTTAGAGGAATCTTGGGTTATTCGAGTACTATCGCATGTCTTTATCTGTTCTATTAGTGGGTTTTATATCACACTATCTCAAACGCATTAAGTCACTTTTGTCTACTTTGTCTAATAACTGTTACAGGTAGAAAAATGATTAAGCTATAGATATATTACATATCGCATTGGGTAACCAGCATTTTCATAAATGTAACATGGCAAGTGAAATTCGAAACGGGTTAAAAGGTGATAGACACATGTCCTGTCACGTACGTTGTCAGCATTTGAGCATGTTTTGTAATGTAATTGAATATGTCGATGAACTATCTTACATAAACTCCATGTAACAGCCATAAGTACATGTATTCTGTATATACAATCTACGGTGTCTGCGGCGCCAGATTAACATATGAACAGTATCTCATCAAAAAGAGGTAAACATGAAAGGTGTGCTGATAAGGAAAAAAATCTTGAATGAAAAACAAAATACGTCTTCTTATCTCCATTTGACTTTTCTTAAGAAATTAGACAATCCCCTGCGTATTCTTCAATACATTCCGGCGAGAGGTCTATTTCGTAAGCTACCTGACACTGCAACCCATCCAAAGACCCAAAAGACACACGCACACAAACATATAGACACACGCAAACAAACATACGCAATTCCCACCATATTTCTGCTTACAAATGTATAAAAAAAATCAAGATGCTAAACACTAATGCGATTGACTCTGGATACTGAGAAAATCGCTAACCCTGGCCCATCAACATGTATAACACTGTAAGTAAAGTGGTCGCCGTGCGTATGCTGTTACGTAATAGTCGATATTACCTAATAGGCACGTGGAAAGGCACGGGAAAATGTGTTGGGGAAATGTGTATAACAGAGTGTGATAACACTGCGCTGTTCAAACCAGTGTTGACACTGATTCTTGGAAGTCATCAGTGCCAGTCTGGAGCGCTTGAGATAGACTTGGTGATATCCAATCGAGTGTGAAGTAAGCTGCAATACAAGTTAATCAGGTAAGTAGGAGCAAAAGTTGTGCACGAATTGTGTTGGTTGACCGCGTGGGGGAGGGGGGGTGCTTAGAATTTTCATACGTTAGCACTCCTGTTTACGGTTTCTGTTACGTACTATTTGTGTTGAAACGAAAAGTGCACATATTAGGAATGTTAACAGTAGTGCCAACACACATAAGGGTTATTTTTAATTTGTGCTTGGGGTGGCTGTGGAGGGCATGGCTGTCTCTTCAGACAGTCAAACGACAGCCAAACCTTCGCAGTTTCGTTCTAAAATTTTATTAAATTTACCATTTTGCTGTTTCCATTTTTCTTGAGAAGATGTAAAAAAATAGCTAAGAATTATACTTGTTTACCACGTCTTTTTGTCGACTGTCTTGTTTTCAATACGGGTTGAATCTGTACTTAATATGCACCCTTAATTTGTTTTTCTGAAGCTTGAATATTAATTTTGATAATATTTTAAGGGCCGATTAGTGCCACGGATTTTACGTATACAAGAACTACACGCGCGCACATACATTTTCACAATTTCTCACAATGTAAGCACTGTGCATTAAATCAGTAGTTTAATGCACTCTACTAAGTGAAAAACATCGTGGATGTTGAACACTGCTTACAAAAAGAGTAAAAGAAAGTAAAACAGAACGTTAATCACGCCAGATATCTGAAAGTCTTCGTATCTGACGTATCTGTTTTTCAGTTTCAGTCAAGTCTGTTTTAAACCCTTCTCCCCTCACTCTCGCACTCTCGCCGCCAACATCAACCAATTATTGAACCGAGTAAATAATTTCTTCCTCTCCGTTCATAGCAATTATAAAAACAGAAAAGAGAGAAAATGGATAGAGCTGTTCATTTCAGGTGGATTCGTTGAAATTGCGTTGATTTTTTTTCACCAAATTTCAATTGCTCAAAGTTGTAAGCTGGGTGAGCTTCGGTCATTGCCCCCTGTACGACTCCCCAAGTTTGTGGTTTGACTGCTGTACTTTCCGTCACCTCGATTGGCGTAATATCCACGACGTCAATCTCTTACGTGACCACAATGTAGCTGCCATAACCAAATCTTAGTCTGCCTATAGATGTATTGATTGGCGTTTTTATTAATTTATGGGTTTCTTAACACTCTCATGACCCTCTGTCGCTGTGATGCTACCATTTAAAGCTGCGTTGATAATCGGCCGGATTTTTTTAAATTTTGGACAACTTTGAGTATTAAACAATACATTAACGTTAAGGTAGGGTTACGGGAAGAAATCATTATGACTGAAACCTGTAGCATAAAAGCTCGACACCAAGTATATAAAAATCAGACCCATTCCCATACATAGATCGATCTAGCAGGATCGACCCGTCTCCGAGGGTTTTCTCGCTTAATTGCATTCTGCTTAAGCGGGTTAGATGTCTGGCACGCCCACTGAAGCTGTTAGGGGGTAATTAAGTATCGTTTAGCAGCTTCAGAATCCTATCTGAGTCCCGTCGATCCTGCTAGATCGATCTAGGTTTGGGTTTGGAAAAGTGTTAAAGAGGCTGAAGCAGACAGTGACGAAGCATCCGTAAATAGCGTGGGTAAAACCAAGAAGGTATTCTTTGCACAGGGTTCTCACGAAATATCTCCGTCGCCCGCAAATATATTACGTAAGTTATTTGTGCAATCTCGATCCTGCGATACCATGAAGCCACAATGCAGAAGAAAACGTTGTCTATTTTAATATTATCTTTTTTTTGAAATTCTCTTTTTATTGAATATTTTTGACAGCGTATTGCAGAGTTAGTATGTTTAGTTCTAAAACAAACAAATAAACAAAAAAATCTAACAAATGGATAAATTGATTTAAAAAATTGATAATGATGATTGATTAAAATAATTAATCAATTTTGGTCTATGCTGGTTGTTTGTAAGGAAGTTCCGTCTTGACTTTAGGGAGAGACGGAATATAAGGAGACAAAAGATATGGATATTTTTTGTGATTATATTTTCCCCCTATTATACATGATCCACCGAAATGCCTTGATGTCTTCGATTCTTTACATGTGACATGTACAGATTGTCATCATGTACTGAATGAAAAATATATCATCCACGTTTAAAAATGTCCCAAATTTATAACTACATGCAGGCCCGTAACCAGGGGGGTTCGGGGGGGGGGGGGGGTCAGGGGCCCCGGGCCCGGAACCCCCCCTTTCTTGGGAAAAGGTACCCTGTGGGTAAAATGTTATTTAGGTATACAAAGGATTCATGGTAAAAGGTCCACTTTTTCAGAAAAAGACCCCCCCCTTCCTTGAAATTGCTGGCAACGGATCTGACATTTCCTGCAAAGCAAAACCTTTTTCCAATACAGATCTTAAAAACCTATAACGCCCCTCGTTATTTTCTTCTGAAATTAATCTACAAGAAAAAACGGCAACGTTATGTGACTGGGCCAGTCGTATAATAGAACCAAATTATTTAATTCGAAAGGGCTGAAATGGTACGTCTATAACATATGAAAGTGCTGGGAAGGGTCAAGCAAAGGTTCGTGATGAGGAGAAATTTGCTTTATTTGCCATGGAAGTTCGACTTGGCAAGAAAATCCCGGGTAAGATAAAAATAGAAATGAACCTACTAATGGTATATTATCAAACGAAGCCTTGGAAATTTAATGAATGCAATTGGGAAGTTAATGAATATGATAACAAAGCTGACTCTGAACGGATTGAAACTTTTCACGGAGCTAATACAATTAAGGTATGGGATACCGACATTTTTGGATATCTTAATATTGAATTTAAATTCTTCTTCATGTGTCATCACCGGTGCAGTGTTTGACGAACGTTGATAGGCTAATTACCAAAGGTTTCTAATGCTCGCCATTGACCAAAGGTGTCGTGTTAGTACTTGTATATATATATATAAATAATTAAGGTAATGCAGGATATTAATTATCTCACCTGTAAGATGACCTAATTTGTGAAGTAAAATTCATTAAAATGTCTAAGACCCCATTTCCAGAGATTAGATCGATCTACTTTAGATCGACCTAACTCCCTGGGGGTTCACGCTAAATAGCTGTGAGCCGGGCGGACACGAAAGTTAATAACCGCCTTACAGCTTGTAGTAGGCGGGACGGACATTTAAGCCGGATTATCTGACAGTAATCTAGTGAGACTCTCCGCGGGGATAGATCGATCTAAAAGCTCTGGGAATACAGCCTTAGGCATAGCGTATATATCGAAAGATCGAACTCGGATAGGTTTCAAATTTAACTTAAACCGTTTCAGTTTTTATGAAGGATTGGCCCATGTTCTTCGGGTTTATATTAAGTGAGGTCGAAACACGGCAGTGAGCAGAATTATCCAGATACATTTACATTTTATAGGTATTTCATACTCGATGCATCCACGGACTTCCCTAACCAGAAAGCGAAATATTGACGCGCAATACTGCGTGAAACGAAAAAGAAAGGGTGGTCAGAAGATGTAACAAACGAAATGGAAATATATAACACTAATACTTCACTGATCATAAGACGTACGTACATTTGTCTTCTTATGACGTACAAAATGACCTAGTTGCGAGCCCTGAATATGGACCATCACGTCCGTATTCACGCAATACCTTCCTACTTACATAATTCTTTGATTAAATCATATTGGGGTTATATAAGAGCGTGAGATTGCCAGTCAGGTTAGGGTCAAGCGCTCTGCCCGCGTGCTATCGGTCGTCGCCCTCTCGGAACAGTTCATCGCACAGAGCTAATAACGTTTAAAGTTCCTGTTTAGTAGGACCAGTGAACGTTTACATTGGGATCTTATGTAATTTTAGTGTCAAAGTTTATGCACAAATAATTGTTGATTTGACACGTCCCCGTTTAGTGATAGATACCATATACGAGTCGCCGAGCTGGAAATATTAAGAGTGTATTTTGCGAGCCGCAGGCGAGTCAATACACAGGTAATTTCCACCTAGGATCTAAAATAGAGGATTGAGTTTTCACGCACAGATAGGTGACGAGTGTTGCATCTCGCTTAAACGACGGCCTCTGATCGGCTACAGCACTACGTACATTTGCGATTTTTTCTCATGCGTGTTTAGAGCCTACTTTATGCTAAAGACCAGCTGGTGACGAAATAAATTCCATGCAAAATTTTTCTCTGGACATAAGACGAAAGTGTCGAGAACAAGCCACGGACATATCTGTGAATTCTAAGGACATATTCTGTGAAAAATCAATCTGTTGCCCTGTTAAAGAGAATTTAGGGCCTCTTGTGGTCACGTTCCTAACATTTCTTGGTCAGTGTAGAACGAGGGTGAACAATGTGTCTCTGACGCTACATTTTTATAAACCACGTAATATCTTTTGAATGCGATAGCGAAATAGGGACAAAGGACAAAACTGTACATTTAGTAAGAATGGACAGGCCCGTAACCAGCAATTTCAAAAGTTGATCTTTTACCAAAGAAAAAAACTTCGTGTAACTAGTTTATATTTTACCAAGAGCAGCCAATTTAATGTAGATTTAACATTTGATTTTCAAATTCTCTACGTGAAGTAATTTGTCGCATATATATATATATATATATATATATATATATATATATATATATATATATATATATATATATATATATATATATATGCATAACATCAGTAGTATTAGTTACCGCTAAGTCAAACTTTCGGGAAAAAATGGTTAAAAAAGGATTTTTTTCAACTAAAGTCGTTGGAGATTTGCTGAAACCAAAATGGACCAAATATTTCTCTTATTTTATCTTCAATTCTATTGCAGTTACCCAAGTACAACAAGCATGAACGACGCGCAATTGCCCCATCCATACATCATGTATAATGGCAGCAACGGGGCAAACACGACCAAATACCAACTGCCTTCAAACTGCCCAGTCAGTTCCATTCCATGTCGACGAACAAAGCGCCATGTGGCCGAGGATCAGAAAGATGAACGATATTGGGAAAAACGAAAGCGAAACAACGAGGCTGCGCGCAAATCTCGCGAGAACAAACGCAAACAGGACTTGACGATGCGGGACAGAGTCCAGATTTTGGAACACGAAAACAGTTTGCTTCGCCGGGAAATCGCTATTTTGAAAACCAAATATGGCGTTCCCGTAGATCAGTCTGTCCCCTCAGATCCTGTCCATTCGCCCTCAAACATTTCGATCAAAAGTGAAAACCAATCGCCTGAGATTACCCACGAACACACCGAACAAGAGGTCGTTACGGAGTGTAGTTTACCCCCGAGGAAATCTCTGCTAACTAGGGCATTGAATTCGGAGCCTGAGGCACGAGAGACCGACAAACACGCCCACATTTCTTCAAAAGAGGAAGGATTCACGCGCCACCCCTCAACTCCCTATTTGTGGTATTCTTCGGGAAAAGGACATGGTCCTTTTTATTCGCCTTTATCAGCGGGTCATAATGAAGCTGGCGTGCTACTGAAGAGGAGCTACCATATGTCATCGCAGGCGGTTTACCCCGCGTTAATCACTTATGATCCGCAACGACGGGAGACCACAGAGTTGCACGAAGACTTCACGTTAGGCCAGCCTAGTTCCGGTGAATTTCGATCAAATAAAAAGAACGTCGAGGTAGGCCTATATTACAAGAGGAAAGGCACGGTGCCTTCGAAAAACAGCAGCGACGATGAAAGTTGTCGGAGCAATTTTTCGTCCCCCGCCCAAGAGGTTTCGTGTTCCGAATCTGAGAGTGAAGTTAACAGGGACATAAATCAACCTCATCCGAAACCGTGCCCCGTCATAGTGAGAGCGCACGCGCAGTGGGAAGACGAAATGTCCTCATCCGATTCGTCCTGGAGCGTTGAAAACGGTCGTAAAACGCCCCTGCAGGACGAGGAACTACGAGCTCGTTTGAAATATCTAAGCGCAGAATTGGAGATAATGAAACAATACGTTTGTAAAAACGATCCCACAGAAAAAGCAATGTTTAGACGGAAAGGAAACGGCGAATATTTAAATTCGATCATTTAAAGATCGAAATGGTATTGAGACGGCTACGTTATTCGAAGTAGACGAACATGAGTATAGAAATATATTTTTCTGGGTTTTTCCATGCGGACATTGATACTTTAAAACACACACTTTAATGTTATTTTTTTGGGCAACGTACACCTTAACTGAAATGAACACGGTAATTATTGTCAATCTGTGTTTGGCACTTTGTAATGTTGAAACACTCAAATCTGTTTTTAAACACCAATTTAGTATTTAAATATGTCAGAGACACATCAAATGGATCAAGCACAAAAATGTCACCGTAAATACATTTAAAATAAATCATTAATTGATTCTTCAGGCACAAAGATGAAGATACGGAGTTCTTCAGGCTTTTTTTTTTTTTTTGTAATTTGTTAAATGACTACAACTTTGAATTAAAACATTCAGGTCTACATGTAATTTTGTCAAATATTAGTGGAACTTCATAAAATTTAGTTCGCTATTTCTTTCAGTATATTTTAAAAGTTGCCTATTTATTGTGTAATAACCCAATATCTGCAATAAAAGTCGCACTAAAATGCGTTACAAAGATGTCTGTTTCTATAAAGTCAAATATTCAGATCTTTATGCCATCTTGCTTAACATTGAAGGTGCTTCATTATATATCTGCTGTAATTTCAACTTGTGAAATTTAAAAGTTGTTCAATTTATTGTGCAATTTATTGTTATTATGACTTATCATTAATAAGTCAACTTAATTGCGTTTCTGTAGTAGGGTTAGGCCTACACGTAGGCCTACGCGTTGACATCGGACGACAAGATTTCATAGGCCTACAGGTAATTCTGCACTTCTTGTCTTTAGATGCTATTATTGTCCACAAATTTGTTGTAGAAAGTTCCGAAGCTCGGCATAATATATCCCTAGTTCAAAAATCCTTTTTTCTTGGGATAAAAAATTATGTTAAAGATCACTGTCCATGATTAACCTCATAAGCCCCATTCAGAATAGGGGACTAACTAGTCCGAGGGTCAAATATGGCCGACCTACTTGAATACTTCCCCTACGGGATGTCTATTCAGTGTCTATTAGCGGATTAGACGACAAACTTTGAAGTGGGTCGCCATATTTGACCCTCGGACTAGTTAGTCCCCTATTCTGAATGGTGCAATACAGTAAGCCTACCTTATTTAATATTTGTTGTCCATTTTGACTCTTATTCAACTCAAGGCCGTAGGGTGGGTGGGTAGATGGGTTGTGTGTGTGTGTGTGTGGGGGGGGGGGTGTTGAAGTTGAAAGTCTGCAGATAAGCCCACGTGCTAACAAGCTATAGGCCTATTATGGAAGGCTTACCTGCCTTTGATCAGTGTGATGCTCATATAGACACTGACTGAGGGAAAAATTAAGAGACTTTCACTGCACTGGCGAATTAGAAAAGACCAACACATTTTCAAAGCATACGTCCTTTGGGGATGCCCCCCACCGCGACAAAATACAAGCGACCAAACATGAAGCGACGGAACGCAACCTTTTCCAAGAATGTGTTCGTTGTCTCAACTGAACTGTATTGTGTCAGATGAGCCGGAAGTCGTTGAAAGACACGTGACGTAAACATTGCGAGCGTGCAGATGACTCCGAGGAACTACTGCATGTGTTTTTTTTTTATGTAGAAAACAATCATGAGTGAAGAAAACTGTCCCTTTAGAGGTTCGGCATGCGATGACGAACCCAAGGAAGGCGACAAAACCCCTTTACTCGTAAACGAGGACCGATCAACACGACAAAATAGGCACCGGTCAACGAGGAGAAGTAAAACCAAGGACAACGAAACTGCCTTTTCAAGTTCAGACTCAGAGGAAGATTACAGAGTAAATGGAGTTCAGAATCGGCGTTATGATTCACCAAGGGGTGGACCAACTCCTTGGTTTGTGTATTATTTGACATTTTTCTCAGCGATTGGAGGCTTCTTGTTTGGCTATGATACTGGCGTTGTCTCAGGAGCTATGTTGCTAGTCGATGATGATTTCTTGCTCAGCCCGTTATGGCATGAAATGGTTGTTAGCGTCACAATAGGTAAGATACCCCCCCCCCCCCTTCATGGTTAAAGAGGAGATGAATAACACGCTCGCACACACACGCACGCACACACACGCACGTACACAGGTACTTGCTATAATTTTTAGTATTCGTAAAGACACGCTTTTAGTGACGTAATAATATAGGCCCTTATAGAAAAATCCTAAAAATGGATCCTCACTTTCCCTTTAATCCAAGGTACTCTAAACTGCTGACATATTATGGACTACTGGGATATATATTCATTTTAATTAAGCAATATGAAATTTTACAATATTTGAGACATTCTTGTGAGAAGATCAAGTCTGGTGAATTTCAATCGCAATGGCAAGCAATTGTTTACTGGAGATGGCAAGTTTCTCAACAGTTTTGGATAGGACTTAAATTTGGTTATAAATAGAAAATTTGTGAAAATTTCCAGAAAAGTTATTATTATTATTATTGGTATTATTGCTGCATGCATATCAGTAAATGTCCAGTGTTGACTGTATGCCTTTAAAATTATAATTTCACTTTTATTTCAATTTCACTTTTATATATGTCATAGGTGCAGCAGCAGTTTTTGCCCTCATAGGGGGCATTGTCAATGATGGGCTTGGGAGGAAGCCTACCACTTTAATGGCCAGTTTTGTCTTCACTGTGGGGGCCTCAGTATTAGCCGCAGCACAGAATGCATGGATGTTGCTGGGTGGGAGGTTTCTACTGGGAATAGGCATAGGTGGGTGGCATTTACTAAGTCTGTGCCAGAAACTTTTTCGCCTTCAAACCCTGTAAAACAGCTGGGTCTTAGGGATCGACTGTTCAGAATGAGTTATGTCGACCAAGCTAATGTGCACACACTTTACTGGGATTCTTGCTGAATGCAGTCAGATTAACAGACTAATATGCCACCTCCTGACATAGAGCAGAATACAATATCAACTCATGAAAGCTGATTTAAATCTTAAACCATACTTATCATTTCAGGATTTGCTTCAACCACAGTTCCCATGTACATAGCCGAGAGTGCCCCCTCTCATCTCCGTGGTCGACTGGTCACTCTGAATAACATCTTCATCACAGGGGGTCAGTGTGTGGCCAGTGTTATAGATGGCGCTTTCTGCTTTGACCATAAAAATGGATGGAGGTAGGGAATGTTTTACTTATTTTTATTGTGTTATTACATGGAATTTGCGTCTCCAAAGCCTACAGTGTTTCTGGTTGATTGAAAGCAGAGACAGAAGTGAATATGACACAGATATACACAGATATACTTAAGATTGAAGTGATATTATAACCTTTATTACTCTCTAAAACCACTCCTGTCTTATGGATCTGTAACTCAGGTACTCAGTCAATCAAATATTGTTTTAAAAGAACATGTCGATGATTAGACTCAGACCAAAAGGAAAGATGAAAATGAAAATAGTATGAGAGTTCAATGAATCAGCATTTCATGTAAGGGATAGCACACATGTCCCTTATTTGATAGTAAAATTAAAGTTTAAGAAGAATTTCATCAGCTGTGTTAAATGTTATAAGAATAAAGTTATTTTTTCTTCAATCAACAGCTAATACTGATGAGGTGCTCTAGATAGACATTGAAATAATAGAGTTGAACAATATCAGTGCCACCTGCTTTATTCTTAAAATAAAAGTTTAAACTAAAAAGTTTGATATTAGAAATTTTAAACATTTTCAGATACATGCTGGGTCTGGCTGGATTGCCTTCACTAGTACAGTTCATTGGCTTCATGTTTATGCCAGAAAGTCCCCGGTGGCTGGTAAAAAATGGGCAAGTGGAGAAAGCGACCATGGTTTTGTCTAAAATCCGTGGTACAGAGGATGTAGGGGAAGAAATAGACAGTATTAAAACAGCAGATGAAGAGGATAAAGAAGCCCGGTTGGCTCTAGGTAAGTAGGATTAAAAGATTAACATCTCATTGAAAAAATAATAATAAAGAAAAGCACTCAGAGAGCCTGACCTTCGCCATTCGTAGCAGCTCACTTTTGATTACCGTATTTTTAATTGATTTAATTACTTCCTTCCTTACTTAATTAATTAATTAATCAATTATTTTTATATTACTGATTTTAATTAATTAATTAAATTATTACAATATAATAATTTTTATATGGATCACCACCAAAATCTAAATGAATCTGTGTCAGCAGATAACTGAGCTATATAATATCCTTTTGGAGCCCAGACGACCTATCTATCTCAGTGTTTTTTCTCTGTTGTAACTCTAAGTTATTTAATTATTATTCTTCAGGAAATACATTAATCATTGTGCAGATGTTAAAAACACCTCAAGTGCGACGAGCTTTGATTGTGGGATGTTGCTTGCAGATGTTTCAACAGTTGGCAGGGATCAATACCGTTATGTAAGTACAGGTGTGTGTGTGTGTGTGTGTGTGTGTGTGTGTGTGTGTGTGTGTGTGTGTGTGGTAGTGTATTTTTGCTTCCAAGAATGTGCATTTGTGTACTAGTATGCATGTATATTTGTATGTTTGTGTTTATTAGAAGAGAAAGAGAGAGAGAGAGAGAGGCATTAGTTTATGTTGTAACATCTCTGTGAAAGAGGGTATATGGTACTGGTAATGAGCTCACTATTTCTAATCCAAGCTAGATTGTTTTGCATGTTAAAAATAATTAAATCATATTGTTGAAAAGGTCATTGAAACCAGGGGCTTGTTTAAGAACCAGTAATTTTATGTCTGATGAAAATTGTAGGACATCTTACATAATTAAACTTTCTGTCTTATGAAACATTTCATAGAAATTCCTTATCAGTACAGGATAGCATAATTATCTGAATGATGTGATATTTAATATCATGTATTATATTACCACCATATATGCCCAACAAAATTAAAATGTTATTGTTAAGAAGGCTTTTGCCAATCATTAAAGATCATTTATTATCATTTTATTGGTAATACATGAAAAGTTACTGTCACACTAGTAAAAAAAAGTAAAGGGGTTTTCATAACATATGAGCACCAAGGTCAAGTGAACTCTAAAGATACACTACTCAGCCTTTTTGATATGTTTTCCTAGCTAGTATGGTGGCACTTTAAATTATCTGGTAATCAGTGCACTAAATGATTTCCAATCATATGAAATTTACCCTTGCTTGTATGCTGTGGATTCAACTTTTTGAGTCTTATTTCTCATACAATTTGTGTCTAGCTCTGAGCAAACCAAATTTAATAAATTGCAACTTTTATCAAATTATATGTTGAATTGTTTCTTTAGGTATTACAGTGCCACTATCATAAAGTTGGCTGGAGTGGAAGATGAATGCCAGGCAGTATGGTATTCTGCTATCACTGCCTTGGCAAACTTTACCTTCACCTTTGTGGGTCTTTGGCTGGTAGAAAAAGTGGGGAGAAGGACACTAACACTGGGCAGTTTGGGCGGTAAGACCTCATTCCCATACCTAGATCGATCTAGCAGGATCAACCTGTATCCGCAGGGTTCCTGGTTAAATTTCTAACAGCTTAAGCGGCTTAGATGTCTGGCATGCCTACTGAAACTACTAATGGAAGTTAATTACCCCTTAACAGCTTCAGTAGGCATGCCAGATATCAGAGTAGCTTACGTAACCTGAAAGAAATTTATTGAGAAACCCCAATGAGATGGCTCGATCCTGCTAGATCAATCTAGGTATGGGAACAGGGTCTAAGTTCTTGTGGGATTGTTATGTGTGACAGTGTGACATTGCATTAAGTGTGACTGTGACAGTGTGTTAGGTGTGACATTGTGTTTATACCTGAAATTGTGGGATTCTGTTAACTGTTACATTATGTGACAATGTAATGAATTGAGGAAGCTGGTTGTGAAATTGTGTGATGTTGTGTTGAGGTGACAGTGTGTTAGGATTGACAGCCAGAACAATGTGACACTGCTGTGGTTGTGAAGCTGTATGCATGAGTTGTGTGTTAGTTGTGAATTGCTGGAAGTGGCAGTGTGTTAGGTGTGACAGCCTGACAGATGTGACACTTGCGGTAGTGACATTATCAGTCTTAGTGACAGTGTTTGTGATGTGACTGTGTGTTGAGTGTAATATTGTTAAATTTATTTGAAAATAAAATGTTCATTTTTTCATTGCCAGGCACAGTTCTTTCCCTGGCCTTATTGGCTGTAGGATTCCAGCTGGCGGCTAACTATTCCCCCAGTGTCAGCGTAGTAGAGGGCGCACTGGGGAATGACTCATGTGGGCAGCATAGGTAAGATTTTTGAATAATTTTCTAGAGGTATTAAAAGAAATGTGAGGTACAAGGACATTTAAGGTTATAATGCAAAGAAAAGTAAACATCATCATTTCATAATGGAACTTTGTCATACTTTGTTGCTCCCATAAATTATTAACCTATCACTGCTTTAAATTCTGTTGTTATTAATTTGTAGTAATGCCTTTGCACAGAAACTAACTACTGTGGTTTTCCTAGTTACATATGTAGAAATGTAACAGTAATATTTTAATGCATATGCCAATGTGTGTATTTATATTATTTTTTCACTGTCATTTATGATCAACTTCATAAATTCTTTTCTAGCTGGTGTAACGACTGTATGGTAGACCCATCATGTGGATACTGTTATGTCAGCACATCTACAGGAGCTGTCAATGGCTCATGTCTGCCTACCAATGGCACAGGCAGTGTTTCAGTGGCTGGGAGATGTGCTGGCACTCACTTACCAAATAACCTGCATTGGGCTTATGATTTCTGTCCTACAAATTATTCCTGGATGGCCCTCGCTGGGCTGGTGATATATTTGGCCTTCTTTGCTCCAGGTATGAGATCAGGAAAGGTTTTTATAAAAAAAATCAAATTAGGTTAATGATCATACTTCAACTTAGATTTTAAGATAAAGGACTTTTGGGAAGTTTTGATGTTTTTTATTTCAATTTATGGACTTGGAACTCAGCTCAGCTGTGAAAAAAATCTTTTATTTGTATTATCAGACAAGACACTGAGCTTGAGCTTTTTTAATGTGCATGTTTGGAAGTGGTTGTAAATATGAATTTGATGTATGAAATTACATATTCATACTTTTGGCCTTTATTCTAAGGTATGGGGCCCATGCCATGGACAATTAACTCAGAGATCTACCCTCTGTGGGCTAGGAGTACTGGAAATGCCATCACCACAGCAACCAACTGGATATTCAACTTGTTTATTTCTCTCACATTCCTGACTTTGACTCAGGTTTTGACTAGATATGGTTAGTTTTGTCCCTTCTTTTGCTTCTGGGGTACCTCCCTTTCCTCTCAGAAAGAGCAATAAAATGCCTTGAGCAATATCACGCTCAGCTGTCACCTTGATTGGTTAGAAAACAATTGTAAAATTGCTACATTATTTTTAAAAATGGGTGCATAAACTTTAAAACCACAAAACGTTCTTAGAGTGCCATACTAGTCTACCATAAAGCAAAAAAAAAAAAAAACAAACATTAAAATTGGTTAAAGTATTCAAAACGAATGGCGTTAAATCCCCTTGGGTTCCCATAGAGCCAATAAAATATTTATCGATGCTATGGCTGTCCTTGTGGCTCCATCCAGAGTGTCAGAGGACACTGGAAACTCACTTTTCTACTGTTGTGAAAGGCAAAGGCAAGCTGTCAGTAGAGGAGAGTTTTCAGTGACCTCTGAAACCCTCTCTCCTCCCCCTTCTCGTCCTGAGCCATATCCTGGATCAGCCAAACTGTCATGTAAAAAGCAAATTAGGATTCAGCATGCTTCTCATGTCATTATGATATCATTTGATGCATAATGAATTGCTCAGCTCCATATTTCATTACAGTTACGGTTGCAAGTGTGACCCCATCTTTAGTTATTTGAATAATTAAAATAAGAAAATAAAATTTTTTTATGTTTCAGGTGCTTTCTGGTTGTACACAGGCCTGGCAGCCATAGGGTGGTTGATTCTCTTCTTCATACTACGAGAGACAAAGAACAAAACCCTTGAACAGCTAGAAAATTTGTACACTCGGCCTTGGTGCTGACATATAGGGCCATCCTTTTCTTTCTTTTTTACACGATTATAAAATAATGCTGTGCTTAAACAAAGTTATCAGAACTGGAATTGTTCAGTTTGTGCAATGAATGTCAGGGATAGAAAAGAAAGCAATGATGTGCCAAAAAATTCAGCATTTTAGGTATATATGTGGAAATTATCTCATTTTCAACTCCCATGAATCCATCTGTAAATTCTTTTAAATTGTGTTTCAGAACTTTAAGTCACCAATAGCTATTTCCAAGTAGCCTCAGTGATAGTAATAATGATAATAATGTAATATAGAAACTAAATTATTCATACTGCAGTATAGTATGCAGCTATGACGAGTTTTTACTAATTATTTTTAAAAATAGTTATTATTCATCTTTGTTGGGGCCAAATTCCTTTCAAATGACTCTCATGTGTTAAGTTATACCTTTGTATCTGGCAGCTGTTTTTTACTGTGATTTTTCATCTGTGAGCAAGACTTTGAATTAATTAAGAAGGTATCGAAATAAAGCTCAATAAGTACGGGACCCTTGTGTGTCACTTTTTCCAGTGTTTGCAAATGGGAAAAAAACTGTGAAATATAGAATATTTTTGTGTTAGAAAGATCTTGTATTTTAAATGTCACTTTCATTACTTCTGTGATTCCATGATCTCCTTTTCCTATGCAAATTACCAAAAGGGGGAAAAGTGATAATAAGTGGAAAGGGAATAAATCCATTTTTATTATTATAATATATTGTTATATTCTAGTGTTAATTTTTTAAATCCTGTATTTTTAAAAAACTATATACAATCACACGAAGTTTTATTGTTACACACTGATGCAATAAATACCAAGTTCTGTAATATTTTTGTATTTATTTAATAAGGTTTACTGTCTAGCAGCTGATTATTTTCTTCAGTAAATTGATCAAAATCGAATAGATGTCAATAATCTACCACAAGTCAAGCAGCAAAGACAAAATGGGACAACTTTCTATCATGTATAAGAATATTTTGTTTTTATTCTCCTTTAAAATTCAAATATGTTAGTGCTCTGATGACTCTATTCACTTTAGACATTCCCAAATTTCATAAGATCAAATACTGAAAAATTTGCATTCATTCCATAAGTTTTCTTAATTAACTATTTGTGTACAACATGTTCTTTCAATACTCTTAACAAAAATATTGTTTGTTTTTATCACATGTAAAATGAACTTGGGATTCTACAAAATTCTCCCCAAAGTATATGTCAGTAAAATTAAATAATTCACTCTGTCTATTCCTTAAAAATATCTTTCTAACATTATAACAACTATTTGTAAGAAACAAATTTGTAATAACCATTTAAGTGGCTCGTGACAAAACAACTGAAATATACATAAAAATATCTTGAATATTCACTTAATACAAATTCCCTATTCCCCTTGTTATACAAAAAGAGATGAAAATCTAATATAAAAATAGTGTGGTGCGTGAAGAACAAACTATCACGAAAAAGTTCAGATTGAAAAATATTTTGTAATCCTTTCCAGATCATTTTTAACTGGGAGAAAGCAACCAGTCTGCTTAAACAGGACAACTTTCATCTATATTTTGCCCATTAACTCGACAGTGATTAAAAGGCCTGTGTTTCATTCTTTTAACACCCCTCAAAAATTTTCAAAAATAATTTGGAAAAATTGTCCAACAACATTTTAATATTCTTAAATAAAATGTGTTGTAATAAAAAAACTTTTAAGACGGAAACCAGTATGTCATTAATATACTCTATAGTCTCACTTCTGATATAAGTATGTACCTAACATAGTGGTTAAGAGTGATATATAATGAAATGTGATGTTACAGTATCTTCCCAATGCTCTGTATGTGATGATATTGTAAAAATGTGAAAAAAAATGGAAATTTTCAGAATTTTTTTTCTATTGCTACTTGAATACATAATGAAACCCCAATTATCTTATGTCATTTGGCTACATACATTAACCTGAAGAATTGTTAACCACACCCATCATATTTATACAAATATCACATTTTGCCAGGAATATGTCAATATTTTTACTAAACTTGAAAACATAATTATAGTTTTTGAAGTCCCCTGCTGCAAAAGGTTTGAACATAGACGGAGCCCATTTGGAAAACCTGAAAAAACTCTCCACCTCAACGGCAACATGCCTGTTCACCAGATTAGCTATGAGCAGATTTCAACTTTGTCTCCATTGACAGTGAAGTCAGTTCTGTAGAAACAGAGAAATAAAATAAGATATGATTTGACAACTATGGCATTCACCATGGTTTGGACTCCAGTATTGCTGAGAATGCTCTATGGCATCAAATATGTTTAAATTATACTTAAATTTTAGTTCCTCACAAGCAGGGGCCAATTTGCACTTGTCCAAATACATGTATGTGTACTATCAGATTAACTGAAGAAGACATTTTCTATTGTGAGCATAAAATTATTGTATTTGTTTGAATATTGCATGTTAGAAAAATATCAGAACCTAGTTGAATCAACATGAAGTAGTGGGGGCACTGGCAATGGGTTCTTTGCCACTAAATTTAAGTAATTGTTTTCCTTTCCCAATTCAAATTCCTCTGCACCAGTAAGAATCAGTTTTTGCTCATCGCTATAGTTACTAGACATGTTACGCACATGTATTTTATTTGAATCAGACATTCTATTCTGTTTAATGGGATGCATATTGTTGTGGTAAACAAACAGTTTATTGCCAGTTACTTTGTGCAAAGATGTTCCAGAGTTACTAGATTGGTCACTAGGTGGCTTCCAAGACAAGCCCAAATCAGGCTGGCTTGGCAATCCAGGATATCTCATATCTGGACTGTCTTGGTCTCTTCTTGGAGTAGTTTTGATAAAAGCAATGTCTCTCAACATCTCCTCTTCACTGTCCAGACAAAAATCTTCAATATCACCATTCAAAAGTTCACTAGAACTTGTGTTGTTTTCATTATTCCCATGTCCAATGTGTCTTCCTTCTCCCGTGAAATGGATATTATTTTGGGAGTGATCCACAGAGTTTACAGTTTCAAGAGAACCTCCTCTGGGACTCTTTCTGCTGGACACAGGAGGAGGTGGCAATCTGCATTTTTCTGCCTCGAACACATCAGGAGGAGGTCTGCTTTTATATCTTTTCTGAGGAGGACTGTTTAAGTTGTGCCTCGCTGGGGTAACTTTTGGGTGGCTTTTGCTGTAATAATTGACCTGGTTGACCAATTCTGTTGGTCCATCGGCTGGGTCTTCTTCCCTGTTTGATGGAGTGAACGTATCCATGGCAATCTCTTCCCTTGCACTTTTCCCTTGTCTATGCCTGCTTTTTCTGCGTGGCGTTTCATCTAAGCACTCTACTTCTGTTCTCTTGTCTTTTATCGTAACAGAGTCGGTTTCATCAATGGTACTCCCGCCACTACCAATCTGACCTTGAACTTTGACCTTGACCTTGGGGTCAATGTCATTTGTTTGGCTGCTGTTTTGTTTTGAATCTTGCAAACTTGGCTGCAACTCGTGTGGCTCCAGAGGGAGGGGTTCCAGTGAAAACAAAGGCTCCAGTTTTTCCTGCAACCAGTTCTTATTGTTTCTGAAGTAATCTTTGGCCGCTCTGACAGCAGAGTCCAGTTCTTTTCCTTGAGAAGTTTTGGCAAAGTTTTCCAGTTTCACACCTGTGTGCCTTGCACAATAGGTTAAGCTCGACCATGTGTCGTTCTGAATGCCATGTAGCTGACAGTACACAGCAAATATATCCTTCATGAGACAAAATGGGGGGATTAATTCTAATTTCACAGGGACATCACTCGCAGTACAGTAATCGAAGTACACAATGCAGTATTTTGAGAGCAACTGTGGTGGTGGCTGCTCAAAAAGCTGTTCCTCATTTCTGGCAAGCCTTATTTTCTCTACAACCATATCTGATGCTGGGACAAATATATCAGCTATGGGATGGTCAACTTTTACTTGGTATTTATTCTTCTGAGAACACTTGAAGCGAGCCCCAGTTGAGCAAATCACGATCACAGAGTCCACTTGGTCTAATGTTTCTCCAAACCAAACCAGCGGGCCTTTTTCACGTACCACATCCTGGTCCCAAAGGTCAAAGTGCACCTGAAAGACAGCCAAGGCAGGTGCAAATTAAGTGCAGTCATTTTGAAATTAGTGATTACCTGCAGCTGCTCTTTGCATTAAAAAAATATCCATAACAAAGAGTTTTCTAAAATGCACCTTGTAAACAAGTTTGATTGAAATATGACCAACACACCAATTGTAAAGCTTAAAACATTTTATATTACTTAGCAAATGGCTTAACATGCCTTAGAGATCCGTTGCGTAGCCAATCATGATTTTATCTAGATGCTTTTAATTGTTTTTAAAAAATGACTTAATTTACTTTGTGAAACAGATCCTAAGATTCCAGGATGACAAATACAAACTTTACAGTTTAAATGTTACAACTTTGTACCTGACATCCGCACACTTCTTTCAGATACATGGCAAATGCACTGACAACTCTTTCATGAGCTGGACAGTCGTAGGAATATAACAACAGAACACTGGGGTTAGTTTTGAAAGTGTTCCCTGAAAAGAAATTCAAAAACTCACAACTAATAAACATAAAAAAATAATAATAAGCTTTTTTCAATAAAATATTTAAAACGATACTACTTAAAGATAATATCTTCATCTTTTTCTGTAACTGCAATAGCATCAGCATGAACCAGAACTAAAAAAAGGAACTAAAAAATGTGACCAACTATTCCACAATATACAATATAATGGAGACCTTTGATGGGCATTCTACAATAACAAGGTACAGAAACCATTACCTTCTCCATTTGAGCTAAAGCTCTCTACTTCCTCCTCAAATCTTTGCATCTGGAAATCTGAAAAGTCAAGAATGTTTAGTTGTCAAGCTGTGAAACTAAATAAGTTAGCTGTGCCATGATGAAGGTAAAAGATGTGTCACATTGATACCTTTATTATTGTAATAGTGCAATAACTTGGATGCAATCATCTGTTTTTTTTTTTTTTTGAAAATCTGAAACTTTTTTGGACATGCACATACTAAATACAACTATTCCCCACTTGATGCTTTTATTCTTAGCTATCTCAATATCACTCAATTAACTACAGTAACTTCACTTACTGCTTGACCAACTAGCTGTCATTGACTTCGGCTATAAGCTGATAAGTTGCCAATTAGCCGTTGCCAATTTTGTTGCCATGTGTTAGAACAAGCTGACAATTTGTTGATGGCCAATAGGCCTTATGCAGCTAGATGCAGCCATGTTGACTTCTTTTGTTTAATGACTAGCCTACTTTCCAGCATGACATCGCCATAGTTGCAAAAGGCTTATTAGCTGTTATTACAAGTTGATTACTTGTTGATGGTCCAATTAGTCACTGACGCCTTGTGTTCTAACAACCTGATCACCAACATATCCCGGTAAATGAGATCCATTCGACAGCTACTTAAACTGTCATTTGGAAACCTTTAATTGCCTTTGTTTAGGAAATGTACCACTGACACTGACACAGGTATTGGATTTAAATGTGTTTTGTCATAGAAATTCTTAGATATGAAATATAACAGATCAAATACTTTCACACTTTATAATTCACATTCATAAAAAAACTCCATAAACTCTGTAATCTTTGTGAATTTGTATATATATATATATCTCATACCAAAAATTGTTTTTTCTGGTTAAAATATTAATTAAATAGATAATTTAAAAGTCATAACTGTACATTATCATAATGCTTTGGGTGGGCCATCATTAATGGGATGGACATCAGGGCTATGTACTCAGTAACTCAATAGCATCGCGAATTGCGACCGAGCGCAAGCATGGAGATCCACCTCTTTTCCATAACTCAGGATTTACTGGCCCCATATGCATACAAAAATGAAAGGTGATTTCGCTATCGCAATTCGCGATGCTTTCGAGTTACACAGCCCAGACTCACCTTGTCGCAGTCTTCTCCTCCTGTAACACAGACACGCCATGCCAATAGCCACCACAGCTAGGCCCACACCCAGGATGGAGCCCAAGATAATGCTAATCTGTGTCTCTTCTACATGGGACAGGCGCGACTGGATCACATCTGGTAGAAATAAGTGAGAGGATTTCACTAGACATGCTTAGTGGTCTGGGCTAGTGTTGAAAATCAGTTAAACAAGTGAACTTTTGAGAAAAATAGTCTGCCCCAGGCATGTTTTGAATTGGACCTAGTTTTCTGCCTTTTTATTTTTTTGTTTTTTACTCATGGACTTTTAATATTGCATAAAAATAGATGGACCTACAATATCTAGATTTCAGAAGACTCTTGAGCCTGCAGTGTTTCATATTGTAAAACAACGCCAAGTAGTGTATAGAAAATTATAAGGTTTTGTGTATCGCTGTCATCTGGTAAAAAAACTAACCTACATTTTTTATCCCCACATCTTGTAAACTATATCTTGACATAAACTTGTTATAAAATGTTAACTGGAAAAATATATTGAGGCTTCTTTGAATGGATCCACGAAAACAAGCTTTTGGTCTACTTTGGGTTGTGTGTACTACCTGTTTCCTTTGTGCTAGGCTGTTCTCCTGCTGCAACTGTGGTCCCCGAATCCATAGTTGTTTTTATCTCAATTGTAGTAGAGCTCTTTGCTGTTTTTGTCTGTTGTGAGGTTGTCGTCACTGTGCTTCTTGTTGAGCTTTTCACTGTACTTGTTGTTGTCACTCCTGTTACTGTTGATGATGACGTAGATTGCACTGGGGAACTTGAAGATGTTGCTATAGTGGACGATGGATTTGTTGGAGAATATGTTTCCATGACAACTGAGACTGTTTTTGAAACATTTCCTGTGGGAGAAATTACTGGTGTTCTTGTCGCGTGTGAAGGCACTGTTGTGGTTGCTGTGTTGTTCGTCAAAAATGCCGTTTGATTTAATCTCAGCACTGTCAAATTGTTTAAAATTGTAAAATACTCCAGTGTAAAGTGAAGCTGTGGTCTAGTCGTTATTGCAAGCTTGTATGGTTTGTTTGGACCTCTCTCTCCTTCAGCCATACATAATGAAAGTATTATTGTTTGCTGTGAAGAAAGAGGAAAATCAATGAGCGATTAATAACATGCACGAACCTCAAGCTAGCTTTTTCTCAGCTAATTGCCGCAATCTTTGAGTCAAAGCCTTACTAAAACAAATTATCTTGACAAATTTTCACACACACACACACACACTCACACACATATACATAAGTGTGTGTGTGAGAGAGAGAGAGAGAGAGAGAGAGAGAGAGAGAGAGAGAGAGAGAGGATAAAATACAATATATGATGCATAACTCAAGATACATAAGAATCCCTGGAATTATATTGAAAAAAAAAAGAAAAGTTGTAACTACTGTGCAGCAGCAATTTGTTAAAGTATCTTTCCTGGGTAGAATTGTATTTACTTAACAAAACTCATTTTTGCCATGGCGATAAAAAAAAAAGTATTATCACAATTTATTTTCTTCTTTACACTATACACTGCTAAGAGAATTTTACAGCTTGATAGGACTCAAAGTACAAAGACAGACCTCATAAGTGATAATTGTCTTTTGCTACCACGGGCCTTATATTTGGGAGCACAAATAACCAAATTTATGAACTGAGCCACAAATTAAGTACCTCAATGTAAAATTAGTAGACAAGAACACAGCATCAGAGCAGTTCATGTATCACGATGCTGTGCTCATGGCTACTAATTTTATGTTTGGGTACCTAATTTCTGGCTCGAGTTGTTAATTTGGCTACTCGTACTAACATTTTGAGACTCAAGTTTGTTAACAATTACTAGTAATCCATTTATAAGGCCAGAAAGACCTCCGCCAAAAGAAATGGTAATGAAAAACTGTTTTAAAAATATAATAACCTGATTCACTTAACAATGAAAATGCTTTTTTTTTTTTTTGCTATCTATTAGTAAAATAAGATATGCCAGAACAAATGAATTAATACACAAGCACCTGAAAGTTTGAACAGAGAAACTATCTCAGTCATGATTCTAAATAAACTCAGATTATTAAATCAGATTCTGTGATTTCTTGCAAACATGCAATTCCACCCAGCCCAGATTCAAACAATAACCAAGCTCCACAGATATATCCCACTCTTCCTCAGATAATAAAACCATGATAAGTATGATACTAATTTAGCAGCATGGTAACTATTTACGCTCTGCTGGGGGCCAGCTGAGTGATGACTTCATTTCTGTGCAAAACTTTGCTGCCTTGGCGGAGGTCTGCGCTCTCTGAGTGCTTTTCTAGTTCATTAAGCATTCTGTTTATTTCAATTTATCAAGTGGGTCCACAGCTTGTTGACCAATCAACCAACCCAATTTTATGTCCAGTAAATCAGAGTGAACCCAATTTGTTGAAGCCAAAGCCTCAAGTCACATATATAGAGTAACCAACAGAACGAGGAGACTGCGGCATCATGAAATAAGCCTTGCTTAAAGAATGTAAATATAAGGACCTTACTGAGTTTTTTGTACACATAAAAAATGTCAGATGTTGGTTTTCACTTTCAGAACCAATATTCTGATCTAAAAGATTAAATAAATAAAATAAAAGCTGTCCACTAGTTTTAACTTGAAGACTTTCACTTGCTTCAGAGGGTTGTGTCTTCATCGCATCAATTCCAAACACACTGACACACCACAAACTTAGTCACTCACAATGATTTGATCTTTTTCTATCAGATGGGGGTCAAAATAAATAAATAAATAAATAAATAAATAAATAAATAAATAAATAAATAAATAAATATTTAGCACATTTGGCAGAAACTTCACACCCCACCTGTTGCAGCTCATCTTCCGTCCAGTTTAGTTGCTTGACCTCCAGTAAGACACACTGTATTTCTGACCCACCGCCCTGGCTAATGTGGACTTCAAATCCGGACGTGGAATTAACAAACCCTGTAACAAAACAATACAATTATGTAAGGGAAAATATAGAGACAGTAGAATGATAGAATCTGGGTTGTCTGCCCACTGGGCACCTTTCTATATTTTCTTTGCTGTCCATGCCACTGCCTTAACAAGACAGTTAAATTTGATGAATCTGGCATGAAACTCACTTATTTATGTGCCCCCTGTTGGCAGTTCAGTTTTAAATGAGAAATCTGGCCTGGGTCAATAGCATTTGAACACATCCTATCCATTTAACTTCATCACCAAGATCAGTAACATATAAGGTATATTACTAGTAAATAGATATTATCATTTTGTACTATAAGGTATATTAAATAGATATTATCATTTTGTACTATAAGGTATATTAAATAGATATTATCATTTTGTACACTATGATGTATTATTGCGCACATGTAGCAGACCTAAAAATACATCTTGATTAACCCAAACCATTCAATACATACCATGGTTTAGCTCCAAGCTCACATTCAGAAATAGTGAACCATTATTGTAGCTTGCATGGATATCCTGTGCAGAGACAGCTCCATTTCCCTGAGGATACTGTATTGCATGCCAGTCTGTGACATTCACAGAACAACCTGAAAATAAAGTTATATAAAATAAACATATAAAGATATATATATATATATATATATATATATATATATATATATATATATATATATATATATATATATATATATATATATATATAAAAGTATCAACCTTGATTAATTAGTAACCCTAAATCTCGGCTTAGCCTTACTGATTAGTGATCTTAAAATAACCCATTCCTGTTAATGAGTAACTATTTTACTTCATTACCAAGATCAGTAACATAATTTCGGCTCAACTTATTCTTGTCATCATTTGGCTTGTTACAGCAATAACAAAACCTTGAAACACTTGAAGTACGTGTTATTAAAATGATAACAAATAATAATACTGAAAAGCTACAAGTCGTAATGCCTTTTTCTATGTTCTCCTCTATTACATAAATATAATTCTAGTTAGTGGTTCTTTAACATTCTTTTCCCCAATTAAAAAAAAAAATGCATTGCACAAGTTACAAATAAATTATGCCATATTCATTTCATTGTCTTTGAATTTAATTTGCTGATGTAAGTTAGGAAAATGAAGATGAAAAGAATGAAACTTACCAAAAGTTTTATTAACAAAACAGATATTTTCTGCATAGCCCTAGAAAGGAAGAGGATATTTAGCAAAATAACTAACTAGTTCTTTTTCAAAAACTTTATCACTTTTGTATGATGACAAGGCACATATACTGGGTGCACACACACACACACACACACACACACACACACACACACTCATGCACATAAACACACACAAATTGCACTTGGCCATTGTGCACAGTAAGTGGATTAAAAAATCATCTTGGCACGCACTGTGTATTTGATAAACCCACACAGTAACCATAGTAACGTACATGTAGCTGAGATACAGATCTTAAAATAGGTTTCATATTAAGCTTTGACCTTTATATAAAATTAAACCCCTTATACAAGTGACATCATTTAAACATTCATTGTGGAATCCATGGCGGATGGACGAACACATTAAAATAATTTAATGGATAAAATTAGCTTTAACTTGTCTAACTAAAAAAGGTAAAAACTTTCGAAAACTTGGAGGATTATCTAAAAAGGAACAATGATACTTAAATTGAGTAGCAATGATTGTGAAATTTAACGTATATTCTTAAGAGAAGGGATGGTGGCGCTATAACAGGATATGGTGACTTCCTAGCTGTAATCAGGTATTTTTTACCTTGTTACACCTGTATGCGAAAATAGGTAGATCAACCTAAATTAAAAAAAAAAAAGAGAAATTGTGATACTCACTGTTATGCTACAAGAATTCCTGTTGCCACAATACTGTGCTATAATTGGCGAGAGAGACAGAAACACGGAGAGAACAAAAAATATCAACCCCGAATTCGATGTTCCTGGACTCATAGCAGCCATGATGTTTGTTGGTTTAAGCAAAGCGCCATCTATATTCAAGAAAGTCCGTTTAGATTTTTTTTCCTGAATTTAAATAGTTATGTGTAAATTCTCGCTGCTGAAAGGTTAATTTGACAATGATATTGGTTTAAATATTTTACACATTAATATCTTCCACATTTTATTCGAAAAATTGCTGGCTGATTTACATTTTCCCTTCTTGTAAATAAATGTAACCTTGCATTTGATTGGCTAAGCAACCTATATCCGTTCCGTGGCACTTTATTCGAAAGAGCTCAAGTCGAAAATTTGCTTGTTTATTTAAAGTTTATTAGACCGATTTAACGGTGTCTCACGCCCATTCGTTTGACAGGAAGGTGCCAACGAGTAAAGGGATGCAAAATGATCTCTGATGATGATGTTTTTTACAGCCCAGATGGAAGGAAGGAGAACGGAAGGTATGGTTTTGTCAAGATTTAAACTGCAAGTGCAGTGCTGTGTACTCATTAAGTTGATGTTTGGAGTGGTACTAGAGTGTATTTATAGATAGTGTAATCCTCGCGCTCTTTAACCTTACGAATGTGTTTTATCTCTAGGATAATGACCTTTAGCGATTTTAACATTCTCTAATAATGAGATAGACGACTTTATTGCACAAGCCCTGCCTTCTCAATGTTTATAGTTTGGCAAAGATAACGCGATTGTCTGATCCCTCCACCTTTTCTTTGTGTGGCAGTTTCTGATTATGGCAAAACGGACAGTACTCAAATTTATATATTTGAATTTATCTGCTTACTAGTATACAGTTAAATGATTTCAATATAAAGATTTGAGAAAATGTGAGTGAAGTGTTTGTCATGGCCGTGTCATTTTAGTGGATTTAGGAATACAGTGGACTTCTATTTTCATGAGCATTTTTTGATGTCCATATATTTGAAATATAAAAACTTGAAGTTTCCATTTTGGGGGTTAAAGCAACTTGCTAGTCGTAAAATACTAGAAAATGATCAGATTAGTGCTTGTGGTACCTGATTAGAATTATGATATATGTTGATCAAAATAATGTCTTATATGTAAATTTGAATTAAGTTATTGGGGATAATTATTTGTTCAGATAGATTTTGAATGAATGGGTAGTGTGGAATTCTTTTTGTGTACTTAATGAAAAGTATAAATAATGCAATAAAAGTCTGTTTTATTGAGTATTTTGCACTCATAAATCATCAACTAGTATCGCATGTTCATTTTGATCTACCATCATGGATTCAGTTACATTATTACAACAGGAAGGTTGGACCAAAACAATCCCAAAGGTTCAAATCTCACCTTAAACCAACAGTGGCATATTTCAGTTTGTCATCAGAGCATTGCAGTATTATTCTCCTTGAATAAACACATGCCCTTCATAAGACCTACCTTTCTGTTTAAGCAACACAGGTTTGTGAAAGGGAAACAAAACCAGGGTATTCAAAATGGCAATTATTTGGCTAAATAAACCTGAAATAATGATGAAGCTCAATAAACCTGAAAGGCTCTGTGAAGACTTATAAACAGTCATGGGAAGAAAGAAAGTCGTGAGAAAACGGATGAGCGAGGAAAACAAGAGAATTTTGAAAGAGAGTGTACGATATATTAAATTTTCTACTATAGAGTCTAAATCACGTCTAGGTAAAGACTCGAGATCACACTTGAACTGCTGAGTATTCGTACAACGTCTGGGGTTGTCAGAAAAAAATCGTTAGGCAATCATTTTATGCACAATAAAGATTGTAATAGCAAGCAAGTTTTTAAGTAATATTGCCACCCAAAACATTTTCAAATTCGCATATTACGGTCTTGGCACTCNTTAACTGGCTAATTCCAGCTTAAGATCCAAGAATGAAAATAGACTTCATTTTCATTATAAGGTCCATTGTGATATTCACTGGCTTGGCATATTTTGAGGGTGGGGGAGGGGGGGCTGCATGCATGACAGTGCAACCAGTGATTTGTAGTTCACTTTTATTTAGTGCTGCAACTATAGTTAGGTGCTCTGATCTTGTGGGGCTCCTGTTCAGAATAGTACAAGTAGCTTTCTCCTGTTGGTACCTCATTTTTCTGGTATAATTTCAAAAATTTTGTTGTAAAGTGAAATGATGGATAAAGATTTACTAGTAAAGACAGAGTGACATATTTAGATGACTGGACATTTTGAAAGTTATTTGAAAAAGTTTATAAAATCAAATGCTTTTGCTCCATGCTCGGTGTGTTAAAAATCATTGGTGTGAAGTTTTATGAATTGATGTTCTCTGTATATTTATAATTCAGACCCCCTTGGCATCCCATTAAACGAAGGCGAAAAGATTCCACAGCGAGTTTGGCAAGTTTGCAGAGCATTGATCTGCCATCGGTAAGTTGACCATGCATGACTGTTTGATTTTATATTTACTAGTATTGTGATTTTGTTTGAACTTTCAGTTTGATATTGTTGAGAAGGATATTTCGAATTAAATTGAATTGAATCTGATTCATTCATTCATTCATTATTTGATTCTGATTCATTAATATTATTATTATTACTTAATGGTTAGTCAGCTAAGTACAACATATTGTTCTGGATCAAAGTTAACTAAATTTTCAGTCTTCGAGCAAAAGACACTTTTGACAGGGGTTTTAATGGGAATCTGGGTCTGAAGATGTTCTCAGTTGTGCTCTTGTTGTAAATAGCTCAACTGTAACAATTGGTTCAACTGAAACAGTTAATCCAGGCTTTCTCTGCAGTAATCTAGCATAAGATAGGATGAGATTTTTGTTTTATGCTAGAATTCACTTAACTAGTACATAAGAGTACTATTTTTTATTATATTTCATGTTTTAAAAAATCTGTTACTAGTAAGTTACTTACTAGTACTGTTGGGATGCAACGTTCACCAAATGTTTGTGACACAACTGCTGTATGATTTGGACATATTTTATTTTTGCTTCTTTTTAAAATATAGGTAAGGATTATTTTAGTACTATTATTACTTTTGCTTGAACCAGTGTTGCAGTGTTCTTTAAAATGATTTAAAAAGTTTATGTCAGGTGTGACTGTCAATGATGAATATATGGAATAACCTGCAATAGACAAGATGTGCTTATTTTAATGGATTTGGGAAATGTAAAATGCCACTTACTAGTAGTTTGAATTAAGTACATATAGTTATGAAGGCAGTCATCAAGTTGTGAGCTGTTTGAGATCACTGATAGAGTCAAATCTCTTTCAAAATCTGTCTCAACAGTGTCTCCATTCAGGATACTGTATAAATTAAATGGCTAGGCTATTAAGTTTTCTATCTCTTAAAGTGTACCAGCACATCAGTACCACTAAAGTATATTGCTTGATGTAATAGGGACAATGAAGTACTAGTATAGGTACTAAGACTATTGTGCTATGCTGGTAGCCTGGTAAACACAACTAAAGAGATATTAAGTGAAAAGACGAACAATTAAATAGTACCATTAGTGACAATGAAGTTGCCTGTGGAAATGCACATTAAGATACAAGCATATCAATTTGTGCCTCATCAGCACTAAAGATTTTATTAATTTGTTTTTTAATGAACCCTCAGCATAGTTATCTTTAAACTATTTGCGGGCCGAAGATGAGGTAAGCAAGATGTAGCTCCTGACATCAGTGGCAATGAGCAATCTATTGTACACAAACAAGGCTTACTGTAACATAAAACTTTAACCCGATTTGCATTGGCATAGAAAACATGCTAGTCTCGTACTCCCCGGAGTTAGAGGTTTTAAAATGTTTAAATTACTAATATGGACAAAATAAAACAGGGTCAGTTGGTAAAGAATTGGTAAACACTGGTCATTTACAGAAATTGTACCACAAAGTACCGAGGTCATTTGTTATTAGCTCATTAAACTGCCCAGAGAGTGCTTTGATGATGCTAAGATTTTTATGCTTGTTGAACAAGAATGCCGACAGCGCAACGTCCGATTTATATCTACTAGTGAACCTGTTCAAATTATGAGTCATATCAACGAACTGGGGGATAAGACATTGAACAAGGATGCTGCTTATGAAAACTTCTCTGGTTTACTAGTACCAAACATCGGCTCAAGTGCTGCTATTTATGCCTGTTGCTATTTTTATGATTTTGAATCAAAATGTTAGGGTCGTGTTATGACTCATTCAAAATGTGACGCATGGACTGTGATGATGATAATAATAACATATATTCATGCGGAGGGAAGTTCCTTTCTATTTGACCCTGAGATAAGACCAGATACAGAAGTACATCTTATTTCTCTGTGCATCAACTGTAAAATTATGTCACAGTGCATGAGGATAGTGCACTAAGTAACAAGTTACTATATGTTTTCTTTTCTCCTTTTTTACAAAGAAAGTACCGATAGACAGTGGTCCTTTTTAGTACTAGTATACATGTCTTAATTACATGTTGATAACTACAGTTGTGAGAGGAACTTGATTATTGTGGAATTGGTTTGATAACGATTAACTTTTTTCTTTTTTTTTTATGACATCATTCTTGACCCTTACTTTATATATGTATACTCATTATTGTATTGGTAAAAAACTTGTTTATTCAGTCTTCCTGGTATAACATATACTAGTAAATTTCTTTAAATCTCCATGAGATTTACCCGCCAAAATGGATTTTACTGAGAAAATAAGCAATTATCTTGTTCTCACAAATCATCTATCCCTCTCTGCACTTGGATTTGACCTTAAAATTTATTAAGGTTGATTTTAGCGTTTACAAAATGACTGGCCATTTTCTTTTAAGCTCCAATTAGTGGAAATGTCAACATCAGGTACGCTCCAGAAAAAAATATTTAAGGGGTTAAATCACATATAAGGTGTATGTTGGGTTTTGTAGGAAGCTGTGGATGACAAACATAACCATTTTGGGGATTTTCAGACTCGTGGAATTTACCTTTTAAGTTTTTCAGGTAATAACAAAAGTGGTAAAAGGTGAATCCTTAGGAATTACATTATAATTATGTCAAATTTTTATCCCTTTAAAATATATTCTTTGTCTTTTGTTACCTGAATTATTATCTGTATCACAGTTTATCAAAATGTTAAATTTTTTAAGGTGATTCACCAAACTTAAATCTTACAGTGTAATGATGATGTAAGGGTGGAGTGTAAGCCTAAGGGGACATTTTTATCTTTTTGTGCGTATCTCGGTGTACAGACATTTACAAATTCCATAGACTCCACAAAATTGTTCAACCTATAACTTGAATAATTGTTAATATCAAATGTATCTTAAAATATTTTTTTTTTCATTTAGAAGAAGCTGAGCATTTATAAACATTTTTATAACATAACCCAAAACTTTGCACAACTTTATATAGAATAATATGTTGTCTTTTTTCCTTTGGTATTTACTTGTACTAGTACACAAATATATCAGTTTATGACAATAAGTTGTTCTTATTTATATTCAAAATGACCTTGAAAAGTACTGGAATTAGGGCCTCTAAAGTCTTTGAAAGTCCTTGCATTTGCCCTTAATGTTGCTTTATGAACCGTACACTTAGCCAGATTTTTTTTGCCATCTTTCACATTATCTAGGTACTAGTAGTCTGTCCGAATACGTACTAGTTTTTTTCCCCAATATTTGGTTTCCCTCAAAGCCATACTATTACTGCAGTTTTTTTTTTTAATTATGGAAGAGGTCAACAACATGAAAAAACTAATCTATGATGTAAATTATATGTCTGTGTATGTAATTTATCTTAAATGTTTTCTGTTTCATTTTTTTTTGGGGGGGGGGGAGGGCAGGGGGGTAAGGGTTTTTTTCTGTAGTATTTGCTTTTTTTTTAAACTACTTGGTCTACAGTCCTCAAGTTTAGCCACTCAGATAAAACATACATTAAATGTGAAAGGAAGTTGATAATTATTAGTGAATCATAAGCAGTTTCCTTGACGCTCCAGAATCGCTGTCTACTGACATTTGAATTTTTTTTTTTTTTTTTTACTGCAAAAACTATTATTTCTGATTGCAGGCATAGCATTTTTTAAAAGTAGTTTCCCATTTGGCTGCAATAGAAGCTATTCTAAATTTAACACAAGAGTAAATAATCAGAGATCAGCTTGTGAGGGTACGTAGTCAGTCCAGTTGAGTCACCTGCTGGACGGACACCATGTTGCCACAGGATGCGCAACCTCATCTAAATTCATGGCGGGGACACATCAAAACAGACGTGGTCCCCAGTAGCTTTTAGGGAGAACCAGAGGGAGTTTTATGACTATTGTAATGGGGCATTGGCTGTTTTTGACATTTAAAGTTGAACCGTTTTTAAATTATTTTATATTCAGTTAATCAATCAATTGATTAATTAATCTTGTGTTGAAAAAAATTGCAAAACGAAATTTAGACTGGTGGTGGTGAACTTAATTAAAATTTATTTTCACTTTTAAGTTGAAGTATGCTGTGGTGAAACTAGTGGTTTTCAGTGATACTATTTTACAAAGTTATCTTCTATTTTCCTGGTTTTCATGGTTTTTCTTCAGTTTCTTGGAATCCACACAAGACCTGTAAATGGCAATACAGTTATATTCAAGTAAGCTGAACTTCCTGATCTCACATACACATTAACAGGTGCTTCTTATTATGGGCCAAGGCATTTTATCTTTTCTCTCCCTCTCCGCTCCCCCAGTCCTGAGGTACTAGCCAATGAAAAGAGCTCCCTTTTTTCGCCCCAGGAATAAGAGGAAAAGTTAATGTTAATGATCATAGGTATCACTTTCTAGATTCCGATCACTGTGATAACAAGGCAAAAGCAAACGGTATAACTTGAAATCAACCGATTCCTGAATTGACAGGGATAAAGTATGAGACAAAAAGAAATCGAGAAAATGGCAGGATTATCGCAAACAGTGGATTACGCCTGGGGTATTACTGTAGGGGAAGTGTGCCAGCTTATGGAATTAATGGACTTTGTAAGTTGTCACGAAATGTTTGCTACCATCAACTGAATGTTATATGAGGATGTTAAAATGTACTGGTACCAATTTGTGTTTTCATTTCATCTTTGAAAGATTCATACTGTGGGTTTAGAGGCTCATTATTCCAATGAAAAAAGTGTGCAAAAAAAAAAAAAAAAAGGAAAAATTTACCCAATTTTTTTTTCATATTTCTCTATGGTGTTATAACTTACACATTTATTAGCATAATTTGGAACAGAGGTTAAATCAGAGGCAACGTACATTTTTTCAAACATATAAAATATACACTGGTGCAAACTGGTACCAGTACATATATAATATATTCTAGTTACTTTACAGGCAGGAACAATGATGCTGCGGGATTACCAATCATTTTTTTTTTACCTAAGCTGTTTCAAGTTTTCTCAGTAGTTAGACAATCAAGTTAATAG